CCGCTCCGCGCCTCGTGTGCAATGTCTTTGTTGCGCCGGCTTTGTCGATGTATTTCCCCTCCCGCACATCGCCTTTGTCGAGGCACAAACCCACCCTCATGCCGTCCTTGGCAGCAATGAGACCCATGTGGATGTCATTGTTCCTGATGGTGGAGTACCCCTGCACATTACCTTTGTCGGGCGTCGGGCCTTCGATGGCTTGAAGTTGCGCATCAGAGCGCAACACCCAAACTGGGTAATCTGTTGACACGTGTGCGATTTTGATTTTGATCAGCTGCCTTCCCAATGCCATCGTCCACCTCTAGTCGCCGTCATCTCAAGGCCGCCCGCGCCGTTGAACTTCAACCAGGTTCAGGTGTTCTTCTCAAATGTCTTTCAGTTCTTCAACCCGAGCTACTCCTGCCTGTTCAGTTCATAAAATGATCTGCTTTACAAGTCGCCTAAGGGTTTCTCGGATGGCCGCAGTAAGTCTAGGCTCCAACCATAATCTATTTAACCCAGAGAGGATTGGGGAGTCTCCATTGTGGCCGCAATACTCGTACTTTGAATATCTGTTCAATCAAGTATGCGGCCAATAAATACTGACAACCGAACCTTCATCAACACCTGGAAGACCGCTGTCGATTCGTCAATCGCGGCATTCTTGCGTGTTAGTAGCATCGCTGCCAACTTCAACTGCTTATTTTGCTCCTCACCTCAATCTCAAATCTCTGCGCACTTCTGGACTAACTGGCGCTCACCTCTCGCCGATTCTCACACGTGTCAACAGATTACCCAGTTTGGGTGTTGCGCTCTGATGCGCAACTTCAAGCCATCGAAGGCCCGACACCCGACAAAGGTAATGTGCAGGGGTACTCCACCATCAGGAACAATGACATCCACATGGGTCTCATTGCTGCCAAGGGCGGCATGAGGGTGGGTTTGTGCCTCGACAAAGCCGGCGCAACAAAGACATTGCACACGAGGCGCGGAGCGGGAGCAGTGGGAGGTTAAATTGCCGCCCAGCGGGCCACTCTGTGACATCCGTCGCGTGAGTGGGCGGCCACTGTGTGACACCCGCAGCGCGAGTGCATCAAAGCTAACAATTATTTGCCTCGGCATGTGGCCGCGAGTCTGCCGAAACCACATCACAAAAGGCCCATATTTACTTGAACTCAAGGCTGAGAATTATTTAAAACTAAGGCTTAACTTCCTGCCAACTAGGTACATTGTAACCGGTATTTATTTGATTAATGAGATGAACAAAACAAAGACCTTTGTGGGGTGTCACACCCATCTGCGGCGCATGTGCGCCGGCCGTGCGTTTTAAGGCACATGAGGATCATGTGCCTGGATCTTTGCCCCCGGTGTCAACTACGTACGACACGGCGCTATGTACATACACCGCACGCCCGCCTTTCGGCTCGACTCGCACTCGTAGACCGAATTCGAGCCGACTTGCACTGGCGCACCCACGCCGCGCAAGCGTGGCGTCCATACACAGGACATACGACCCCGAATTTGAATTGCGCCAAACTCGTCTCTGCATCACGCACATGTGGAATCCGACTCCATCTTCCCGCCGCGCCCCCAGGCTCTCGCTCGCGGCACCGATTTCGGTTACGCGCCCGCGCGCGGGTGAGCCTCGGGACGATTTGTGTTCCGCTCGCGGATGAGGCTTCTTCACCACTCGCGCACGGGGTGGAGGTGCAATCGGATTGGCGAGCACGGCGGGGCGTCGCGGCACGACATTGCGACCGCGGGTGCCGAATTCGACACGGACCTGGGCTCGGCAGCGCGGTGTGGAGGGGTGCGGGAAGAGGAAGAGGCGGGGAAAAACGATCATCGATGGGGCTGAGGGAGGGCACGGAGGAAGGGCGTGTGCAGGGTACGGGAGTAGATGGCGGGATGCAGAAGGAATTGCCGCATGTTGTGCGGGCACAAGCACATAGGCGGGATACACCTAATCTGCAGCTGCGGCGTATCTCGTATGTATCAGACTCGAGACGGCGCCGGTACGGTGCGGGGATGACTGTGGTATACCAGGGCGAGAGGCGGGGGCGGGGGTGGACGAGGATGAAGGCGACGAGAGGTTTTGCGTACGTGACACACCGTCTGCGCACATTCGGCGCTCAATACCGATAGCCGGCACGCTCGATGTGGCAGGGACGCGACGCAGATGGAGCGCACACGGCCGCGGCATCCGCGCCGAGTCCGAGGCCCGCGCTTGATTCGGGTGAGGCGGGATACACAGGGCGACGGGGGTGGGTCCGGTGGGATGACGAGCGGGGCCGACGGCGGATGAGGAGGACGAGACGCGGGGGCGCGGGTGGACGAGGATGAAGGTCACGAGAGGGAGGGCGCGCATCCGAGGCTCACTGGCCCCGCGCACGCAGGACCGTCCCGCGCGCCCTTCCGCGCGCGATGCAGAAGGCGGGCACCGTATGCGGCGGTGTACGCGAGGGCGCGAACGAGGCGTGAGGAGGACGCGGCGCTGCCGGATGCGCGAAATTGCGCGGGCGCACCGAGGAGGAACAAGGGACGCGCGCTGATTATGAGGACCCCATTCCATCCCCAGCTCCACTCTCCTCCGCTTTCTCCGCCTTCCTCGTCCCCGCCTTCGCATCCACACCCGCACCCCACCTGCATTCGTGCTGTGCAGTACCCGCACACCGAGCCACGCCACACCACAGCATCCGACAGCTCCCTTCGTCCTCCCTTCCCTTCCCTTCGTCCTCCCTTCCCACGCACCCTCCCGCTCGTCTCACGCTCTCTCTCCGTCCCCATTCCCATCCCCACCCCCGCCTTCCCATCCACACTCGCGCCCCATCCAGCCTCGGAAACGAAGATATCGCGGGATCGGGAGGCCGGGGCAAGCGAGGCTCGCGCGCGCGCGGGTCGCGAGGGAGCTAGGCGCGAGTGTCCCGAGGGAGAGAGCGGGGAGGAGAAGCGCAAGCGCACGTACGCGTGCGGGGTGAACGAGTGTACGCGCGCGAGGATGTACGCGGGCGAGTGTGCCGAGGGACGCGTACGGTACGGGTGGGAGAGGCTCCGCGCCCATTTACTCCACGCCCCAGCCCACCCAAAGCGCGGACGCAGCGTCGCCGTCTTCAGAGTAAGCCGCACGCGGGTCGGGGGAGCGGCGCGCGGAGCAGCATGTGAGTCGAGATATTGTGGGTATGCGGCCGGTAGGGTGTGGGTGTGCCGGCAGGGAGGCGAGGAAGGACCCGCGAGCGCGGGCGTAAACAGAGGACGAGGGGAAGGAAGCGATGTGAGGAGGGAAGGGAGTGTGCCGTCGTCGGCGCGCAAGTCGACATCTCTATCTCCACAGAAAAGCTCGAACGAGAACGAGGGAGCGCAGTGCCCGTGCACGAATGGATTGCTATTGCGTAACACCGCGCACCCACCGTCCGGCGACGATATGCGCGAGGGTGGGCTCGAGGATTCCCAGCAAGCGATGTACTATGCATGTATGAGCACACCAAGCCACAGTTGACCCTGTTAAGAGAAACGTACCTCAAATTGGACTGTTCCGCACTTCTCTCAGCGCCCCCCTCCCACTGGTCCCAAGGCGTCCACTCCGAGTCCAAAGAAGCCAACGCATGATCCTCTCTCGGAAAAGTGGGTCGAAAGAGCACAGTGCTCCTGGGTCGTGGGCGCGAGGGCGCCGAGAGGAGGCGGGAGCGCGAGGTGGCGTGTGTGTGAGACGAGTTGGAGGTGCGGGAGGTAACGCTCGGGGATGAAAAGGTGGGCAGTGGGTGTGGTGTTAGTACGGGTATGGAGATATGAGGATGTGGCGCTTCTCGGGTGCATGCGCTAGTGCTCGTGCGCGCGGGCAGAGACGAAGGATGTCGTCCATAAGAGTGTCCCGGCGGCCGCGCGGACACGTAAAGTTTTGCGGCGTCAAACCAGGCTGCTGATTCGGGGAAGCGGGCTTGGGAGGACGTCCTGAGGGCCTTTCTAAGAGCAATGGGGAATGAGCAAGTTAGTGGGAAGGGAGTATCAATGCACACACCTCGGAGGATAGGAATTCGAGCGATGCATTGAATAAACTTGAAGGCTCCGTGCTCGGCGCTGGGCGTGCGGGGTGCAGCTGATTCGCCGTAGCGCGCCTCGATCCTGCCCTCAGCGCGTAGGCCGCTACTCGTTGACATCGGTCGAGGACGATGTTGTGCTCGTCGAAACGCGCAGTGGCGACGCCTCTGTGTCATAGCTAAAACGACGCGTCAGAATATCCCTGGAATATGCGAAAAAAAAAAAAACTCCGACCTTTGCTGTCACTGAGTCTCAGCTCAGCTGGCGGAGCAGTCAAGCCTCGCAAGTACAATCGTCGCGTCGCAATTGTCCAGTCCTTTTGCAGCTGTCGAATTTGAATCCAAGTCGCAGGAGAAAGTACCCGGGCCGGAACTTCGCCCACCAAACAAATCGGCACACCGGTACCGAGCGGGCCGGGCAGCCGCCTTCCTCACACAAACTACAATGTCTGGGATTCTTTTCGGCGTCAACCAGCTCTATCGCTCCTGCCTTGCGGACTGCGCCTAGAGCATGAATAAATACGGCATCTCCTGGCTCGAACCCGCCTGTGGGAGCACTCAGTGGGATAGCGGCGCCGGCGAGCGCCGTCTGCGGTTGCTTTTGGCTCACTTACTCTGGAGCTCTCTGGAGTGTGTTACACTAGGTTCACAAGGAGCAGAACAATCGGACGTAGCGCTCGGTGCAGGTGAATTGTCGTGAATTGTCGTGAATTCGGAGGACAGGGTTCGAGTCCCCGCGTGCGTCCGAATAGCCGTTCGAAGCTGCATCCATTTTTTGTTCAAAATTTGAATTTTAAGTTTGGCTCACCATACTTCAGCTGTTGTATCCATTTCCAGACCACTTGCCGATGGTATAGATTTTAGTGCAACATCCAATTTGTCGGATCTCCAGTGAGTGTCAGGCAAAATCAAAAGTAAAGTTGCTGCCATGCACAGGTCGTTAATCTAACGAGAAGAATTTATTCAGCGCCGAAGAACAAGTGTACATCGGACGTGGTGTATGGTACACCGCGAGGCTCTCTCGCTTCTGCAATGATCTACACCTCGCAGAACGGGGTTCAACTCCCCGCGTCCGAATTGGACTGGTAGATCGTCATCTTTTTGAACTTTACTACTTACCTCATCTACCTCAAGGCCACTTGCACATTACGAAGCGCACAAGCCTCGAAGCCATGTTTGCCGTGGGTGTGAAAATCATCAAACCTATTACAAGAACTCGGTTCGAAATAAACCTACTAATTTACCCAGCCTTTTAGCAGGAATGAATCCATCGGACGTCGTGTACGGAACACTGCGAGTTCTTGTGCGGTGTACTCCACAGCTCGCAGCACGGGGTTCGATTGTTCGATTCCCCGCGGCCACAGCATGCAAGTTTTCCTTTGTCCGGCCTCCTTCCATTAATCTCTACAGTTCATTGTCACCACGCCGCAGTGGAAACAACGAAAAATTGATAGCGCTCGAGAAATCGACATTTCAAGCCCGACGAGTTTGAAGGTGGGTTCGATTTAAATTCTAGCCTTTAAGCTTTGTTTTTTGACCTTTTGACCGCGGTTTCCTCCTGGGTATAATAACTCGGACGTGGTGCACGAAACACGGCGAGCTCTCTTGGGTCTCCTTGATTGCAATCAAGCTCGGCGAACGCGGTTCGACTCCGCGTCTGAATAGGCTATTCAGATTACTATTAATATTGTGTCATAACTTTTTTTTCCCATCTAGCCATGCAAAGTCAGTCTGAACTCCGATTCGCAAAGAGTTTCAAGGCTACAAATAAGAACGCCCGCCCAATCTGCGTCCATGTCATCAATGTGTTCTGGCCGTTAATATCCGCCAATGAAAGAATTGAGCCAAAGTTTGGGGTCATATAATTAGAAAATGACACATGTTGGCCGCGTGCTGTCGTCTGTCAGTGAGCGGTGAGCTGGCAGTCAGCCCTTGTTCTTTCACCTCCACCTCGATTGCACTGCTCCACACTCTACCTGGAATCACTACCAGTTCTTGCTCGCTAGCCCTACAATGTCTCACCGGGCTAGTGAATTCCACGCAGTTAATCAGAGCATATATGGTGTGTGGTAAAATTGGTTGAGCCAATGTCATTGCTTATATTTCCCAGGGGGTGTAGGGGGCGCAGGCGGGGGAGGTGGCATCCAGGGTGGGGATGGGGGTCTTGGGGAGGGTCCCAGGATGTCTTATGCTGTCGAGACTGAACACTTCACCGTGAATAATAATATGTATGTCAATTCATCCTCTCCCAAATACCGTTTCTCAATAACAGTAGTGGCACACAAATGAATTGTAAGTGTTTGACACCACAGTTCAGGGGATTGACAGAAAAGCTGATAGTATTGCCACCACAGTCCAAGGGAGAGGCAACACCACTGGCAGAGAGGTTCTAGCAAATCTCAAACCTGTGGCAGCACATTATAATGCTGTCAACACACCCGAGGAATGCATGGATGGTACACGAGTTGCCGTAATCCAGGACCTCATTGCATCCTTGACCAGCACTCCTGATTCATTCCGTGTGGTCATGCTCAGCGGAGTTGCAGGATCGGGCAAATCCACCATTGCAAAAACAGTTGCAACTATCTTGGCTGAGAAGGAAAATATGCTTGCAGCATCTTTTTTCTTTTCCCGTGACCACACAGATCGCAGGGAGATAAGTCACCTTGCTATGACACTTGCCATGCAGCTTGCAGATTATGATCCTGGCTTTCGGGCTCATCTCATCGAGCTACTGGAGAACGATCGTACTGGTGTTTGCAACACAGAACCGCGCCTGCAGTTCCAGAAGCTGGTTGTAGAAATCCTTGGAAAGCTACCTCCTTGTTCGAAGCCATGGGTCATCTGTCTTGATGCTCTGGATGAATGTGGGGAAGACCGTGGCCAGAAATTCTTGCGGTGGCTATCCGATAGCATTGGTGACATCCCGGCCCATATCCGATTCTTTCTGACTGGACGCCCCTGATGTCCCTTCCTATCTGAAATTTGACACACTTCTTTCTCTGACACATAGGGTTGTCCTCGACAAAATTGAAGCCATTATAGTTCAGCATGACATACACCTCTATGTTGAGCAATCACTAGATGGAGCCAACTGGATTACGCGTAATCCCTGGAAAATCCAGAAAAAGCAGGCAGAAGAAATAACAACCCGTGCAAATGGACTCTTTGTCTTTGCAGCTACAGCTGTTCATTATGTTCTTGCAGGACTACCAGAGACACCCCCACAAAAATCTGTTGATTACCTCCTGGATGGTGAAGTTCTCACTGACCTGCATAATCTATACCTCCATATTCTGAATTACGCCATCCCATTACATACCCACGGAGACCGGCATGCTCAGCACTCACATGACCGAACCATGAGAGTTCTGAGTACAATTGTACTTCTCCTGGAACCTTTGGACTGCCAGAGTTTGGCAGACTTGCTTGAACTGGATAAATCAGTTGTTCTGGGGATACTACTCCCTCTGAGTGCTGTGATCCATGTTTCTGGTATTCCAGGGGCAGCCATTCAAATCATACATCTCTCGTTCAAAGAGTTTATGACATCTTATGTTGAAGTGGACCGGCCAGACATCCTCTGTGGCACAGAAAATCAGCAGCGAGCCCTGGTGTCTGCTCTTATGAGGGTATTGGACAGACGACTAAAATTCAATATCTGTGAATTACCAACCTCATACCTACGAAACATGGACATACCAGATTTGCAGTGGCGACTTGACACCTACATTCCCCTGCATCTCCGATATGCTGCTCAATTTTGGGTGGATCATCTAGTGGTAACAGCCTATGATTTATGGAGTGGCCAAGAAGTGCAGAAGTTGTTGTTCAAAAACTTTTTGTTTTGGCTGGAGGCGTTGAGTTTACTTGGGATTGTGGGATGTGGACAGGAGGCCCTGTCTCAATTGATAGTTTGGGGAAATGAGGTATGTTTAATAATGATCTTATGGGATGTTACGAGGACTAAAGATCATTAGAGCACACCCCTTATTCAATTTCTGACTGATGCCAAAAGATTTGTTTCCTTCTTTTTGGAAGCAATCAATCACAGTGCTCCCCACATTTATATATCAGCACTGGCCTTGGCACCAGAGGAGTCTAAAATTGCAGAAATATTCTCAAACAAATTCCCACAACTACTAACAATTACAAGAGGGAGAATGAACATGTGGCCAAATACAATTGCTCTACTGGAGAGGCACACCGCTTGGGTCACCTCAGTTGCCTTCTCATCCGATGGCAAGACAATTGTGTCTGGCTCCTGGGACAAGACTGTGCGCACTTGGGATGCAGAGACTGGAGCTGCACTCATGGAGCCGCTGGAGGGGCACACTGCTTGTGTCACCTCAGTTGCCTTCTCACCTGATGGCAAAAGAATTATCTCTGGCTCTTATGACAACACTGTGTGCATTTGGGATGCAGAGACTGGAGCAGCAGTCCGGGCGCCGCTGGAGGGGCACACCAGTTATGTGCACTCAGTTGCCTTCTCCCCGGATGGCAAGAGGATTGTGTCTGGCTCTAACGACAACACTTTGCGTATTTGGGATGCAGAGACTGGAGCTTTACTCAGGGAGCTGCTGGAGTGGCACACCAATTTCATCAACTTGGTTGCCTTCTCATCCGATGGCAAGAGAATTGTGTCTGGCTCCTGTGACAAGGTTGTGCACATTTGGGATGCAGAGACTGGAGCAGCACTGAGGAAGCCGAAAGACATAATAATCGCTTGGAAGGATAGCTCTGATCGACAATATAGTGTATCACTGCCCGTGGCTCAGTGCCTATCATGGGAGGTAATGGAGTTGTGTCTTAGCTTCATCGTCTATGACTCTGACTATTCTGCAGGATTTCCGTCATCAGCTCATTAAACACTGGCAAACGACACACACTCTACCATACAGCACAGACATGCAGCTCATGGTTCGTATCAAAAATGAACTATTATCCGGTCAGAAATGGATGAATTGGATATCTCACATCGACTACCTCCCAAATACTCAACTTGAAGCTCGTGATAGTCTTGTGCTGTGCTTTATGGTGCATCGGGAGATCTGCTGTGGGAATCCAAATGAGAACGACAGTGGATTTTGGTCAGTGGCCTGCATATTCGAACATGATATTAAGAACTAAAGCTGACTGCTGGAATAGTGAAAATTGCAAGGTTCAGTTTGTGGATGAACCTTCAGAGCTGCCTCAGCAAGATGAACCTGTCTCACCCGAGGACTCATACAAAAAGCCGCCACCGACTAAGTTGACCTCCACCGCACCAGCCCAGTTGGAGACATCTGCTGATGCACTGGTAGTGGAGTTGCCACTGTATGAAGAATCTACAGTCAAGTCCTCTTTGCCAGAAGCACTGCTGAGCGAATCGCCTGAAACGACTGTGGCTGAAGCAATAGTCTCACCGAGTGTAGCACTCCCCAAATCCGCCCTGCCCTTGATCACAGACTTTCTCCCTTCAAATCAAAATTCTTTCTTGCGCCGTCGCAGACGTGCAACAGACTCTTACCATCCTCCTAATGCAGGCATAGCGCAGGATGTTGTGGATGATGCCCACCATCCGCCCAAATCACTGGCACTTCTTAAGCTGAACTTGTGGATCAAATGGAACGAAGCAGTACAGCTTGGACAGATCACTTGTAATGGAGCAGCACAGTTTGGAAGGATTCCATGGACTGGACTGGTGTGGCTTGGAAGGAGTGGTATTCGTAAACTGGCCACCACATACATCTTCAGCATTGCCCCTCCCTTCCTCCAAACAGCTGAATGGACCCCGACACGACTCAACAACCGGTTGAAGGCGTTCCAGGGATGGGTGGTGACAACCAGTCTCAGTTTCTTGGCGTAAGTCAGTCAGTGTCCCCAGCATTTCAGATAATTCTAAGCTTTAAACAGTGTAATTTCGACGGTCCTGGGTCTGTCGGCATTGTCTAGCAGCCCCACTCCGCAAAGCCTTCTGATATTAAGCACCATATTTTGCCTATTTGCATTCATCTATTCGCTTTTCCTGGCCCACCTCATCGCAGAGCACAAAGAACAGCTGTTGATGTGGTTTGATGTATGTTGTTATGAATTAA